CCAAAACAGCAATGTTCACTGGCATGCTACTAGAAATAAACTGTATCCAATGCCCTGGATAGTTTTTGTTATTAATTTAATCAAAATTTGGCCCGGACCGGTTTATGCCCGACAATATTTTCACGGACCGGCCTTTAAGGTGTCGCGGATAAATACAACAAAATAAAACTAGTACCGGTACCGAAAAAAAGAAAATTTATTCATAACACACGTGAAAAGACCCAGGAAAACAGAGTTAACGATAAAAACGATAACAAAATAACGCTGAAAACCGATAAAAACCCTGAAAGCCATACATTTCACACACGAGCCTCAACTCTCGCAGCCCGGTACCAAACGACTCACCGCTGATCTAATGTACCTGTATTTGCATGACATTTCATACTTTTACCATAAAGGGACATCTCAACCGTTTGGTAGAGATCAATATTTTAAAAACTACAGGGTCTATTGAAAATACAATTATTGATTGTGGTTATTACTCACCCAAATCAATAAGAAATGCAAACAAAAAAGATTTCCATTGTTTTTTTCTTGGGTTAAAAGCATTACATTGTTTGCTTTTAGTAATGATACAAAAGCAACTCTAAAGGGTTCCTGTCTCTGTGTTTTTATATTTTTGATTTAAACAGTTAAAACTGATTGCACTCTACTTAGAATTAGTGATAATCTGCGAGCCTGACATAAATACTATCAAAAACACAGGTTTTTAATATTGAACCTTATATCATCCTTATTCATCTTAATCTTGGCTTTGTCCAGCCCCTCAGTTTATCCCTTTTTATGCTCATCTCCGTTTTGATTAGCTGCCCAACACAAGCAAAAAGTTTCAACAGCAGGTGGGAGAGGTCTGACATTGGACAGAGATCACTTTTCTATGACATGACAAAATAAAATTTAACACCTTTACAGGGCTGCTCTCTGATCCGCAGGTATCAAGCGTACCTGCTGTTCCTGAAAAGTACATGAATTAAGGTGTAGAGGTACTCAATGTTGCTCTAGAACAAAGGTGTCAAACATAAGGCCCGGGGTCCAGAATTGGCCCAGCAAAGGCTCCTATCCAGGCCATTGGACGGCTTTGAAATTTCCAAAGGTCAGCATGAATGTTGTTTTGGAATTTTTCCTACTGTTAAAGGCCTCACTCGCAGCCACTAGCAATGACAGAAAAGTCGTTTTGTTCACGATCAAAATTTGTTTCCTACAATGAGTCAATATTTGACAACTAAAACTGTAATTTTACAAATTTTCTCACAATTTAATCTGAAAGAGTTGGGCCAGGTCTTTTTCTTTGCTCCAGCAGCATTTATGATGTAGAAAAACTGAGCCACTGTTGAAATGTACTTTTTCTCATATTAAGATACTGCAAGATATTAAATGTGTAGTTATTCCTCCTTACTCTGACAGAAAGGAAAGTTTCACTGGTTCATCAAAGTGGTACAGCCCATGAAATAAAAACTGTTTGACAGAGCTGACACAGCAAAAACCTTGGAGGAAGACAGGAAGTGGGTGGGAGGGGGAAAAAAAAATCTGGACACAACATTAAAACCACCTGTTTTAATTTCATAATGGACACAAAAATAATCTACAAAAAGACCAACTCAGGTAACCAGATAACCACGAAATGTCATTTTTACCCCCCTCATTTAAAATTAAATAAATGTCACCCACTGCTCCAGTCACATGACTTCACAATGACACGCATGGGTTTACATGTCGGGGAAATAACCTCACACATACACACACAGACCAGCAGCACCCCATCAGGAGGAGCTACCCAACAATCTTTGGCGTCGTTCTCGGTGCAGCCGGTCAGCCAGACACAAGTGGAGGAGGGCAGGGAGCCGGTGGGTGGAGGAGAGACTCAGGAAGAACGGTTTCGTTAACGGAGGTATTCAGCTGAGGGGAGGTTTCACTAGCAGCGTTCAGACAGGGCGAAGCTCGTTTTAGTCTCGGGGTGTCAGCCAACTTTTCACCGTTAGCCTGCTGCCAGTTAGCCTGCTGCCAGTTAGCCTGCTGCTAGTTAGCTGGTTAGGACTGGAAGCAATTTGTGTTCAGCAGCACATCAAAACAGTTCAAAAACAGTGGTATTTGTTTGCTATTTGCATCTATTGAGCTTTTACATTTTCACCTATGTACTTTAGTTAAATTAGAGTTGTCAGCCACAGCGCTTATAAAAGCTTTATCATCCATACTGCTGCATTCACATAATGGCAGCAGAGTCATTGCAGACTGATGGATTTAAGCAGGTTTTAGCTAGCAGCTACTGAAAACCTTATTAAAAGGTCATAAATCAGCTGTAGTAGTTTTAGTATTTTAATTTAGATCAAATATAAAACAATCTTGATGCTTAATCTAAATTTTAATGATGTACGCAGCTGTGTGCAATAATATTGTACATTTAGCTTTTTTCTTTATTTTAAAGAGCCTTACTAATGATTTATTTTTGAGTCTAAAGCCATTTATTTAAGTGTGGAGCATCCAAGAAAGAGTCTTTATATACACACATAGTTATTATTAATAATATTTTTTTAAACCTGCATACAAAACTGTTAGTGACCCCACAAACAGTTATTGGGCTTCCTCCAGGGGCGGGGTTGAAACACTGGTAATGATAATTAAAAATACACAACTCACCAGTTTTTACTAAACCATAAAACACATTTGTTTATCAAATGTACAGAAATAACAGACTTCTGTTAAAGTAACAGAGTCATTGCCATAACTATACACGCACACCGAGGACAAACCCTGAGATACTGTAAAGGGGAAATGCCATTGTAGTATTTCATAAACTGTTGTCCAGCTTATTTTAATGACACCACCTGACCAATGCTACTCTGCTACATGTGCTGCAGACAGTGCTGCGTGTATTGCAAATAGTGGACAAAACTGTATGATGATAACATTTTAAAATATATAAATATATCTATGAGAGGCCAACACTGGTCTGTGTATTGCTTGGCTGTGTAAAAATAAACTGCGGCTAATTCAGACTGGAGTGTTTGCTCTGGAGGGGGTTGTAGTACAGCAGTATTGTTGCCAGATGTGATATAAAATAAAATAAAAAGTGATATCATGTTAATATAACACACATTTGCTAATATTTTCAAGAATTACCACCAGTAACTGTCTGGTTAACCTTCCAGTAGCATTGCACTTTAATGTTGGTTGCTAACAGTCATAAATCAGAAAAAGAGCAATAATAACTAGCCAGCTACAAGAAAAAAAAAAAGTGTATAATGGAGACTTTATGTACCTTTTCATTAGTACATTTATAATTTATATCATAAATCTGACATTAGCAAAAATATAAATAAATGTATTGGAGTAAATGTTGTGCCGTTGTTAAGATTGCATACTGCAGTTCATCCACATGCAGACAGCTTTCATTTTAGCGTCTTGTTAAATCGGCTTTTAAATCAGTTGTCACTGTAAAACAACCCCGAGGTGAACAGGAGCAGCTAAAAGGTTCTTTTGTTAATTCTTCAACTATGTGTACAGGTGATTTAATGAAGGGGGAGTTCAATTAGAATTTCATGTGAAAACGCTGACTGAAGGGAAAACAAAAACAAAACACTCTTTAGACCAGGGGTGTCGAACATAAGGCCCAGGAGCCAGAATTGGCCTGGCAAACACTCTGATCTGGCTCAATGGACACATTTAGAAAATGTGGAGAAGGAAGGAAATCTTGGATTTTTAACAAGTTTTACAGCTTTTCCTACCAATAAAGACCTCACCCACGGCCATTCATAACATCCCAAAGTAATTAAGTGATAATTTTGTTTGTTTGTTTGAGTTGTTTACAATTACAGAAATATTTCTGTAAAATTAAAAAAAAATCTACAGAAAGTTCTGTAAAATTACATTTATTTATTTATTTTTTTTAAACAGAAAATATTTCTGTAAAATTAAGGAAAAACTACAGATTTTTTTTTTCTGTTTAGAGAAAGAAAAAGAAAAAAAAAATCTTACAATTTGAGCCCAAGAGTTGCACCGAGAGATTTCTCTCTGCTATAGCAGCATTTCTTAATCACATAGAAAAACTGAGGCATATTGTTCAGATTGCCCTTCTTTTTCTTATATTAAGATATCTTAGGCATTTAACGTATAGTTAAGCTACTTTGCATTGACAGAGAGGTGAGTTTAAGTGGTCCGGCTCATTTAAGATCAAAGCAGGCTGTGTGTAAAATGAGTTTGACACCCTTGCTTTAGACTTTTTAGAAGTGTCACAGTCACTGGGGCTCTGCTTGCCCCAGGACTGGGTACTCGTTTTGTGTACCATCTTTCACGTTTTCCCCACATTCTTCTGATTGTGTGCATGCATGCTGTCTTTGCGTTTGTGTATAATCGCCCTGCACCTAAAACTCGCTTTGCTTTCTGTCTGAACGCACACATTGGGGGGGGGAAAAAATATGGAGTCTCAAGTGACATAAAGAGCATCTACAAACATTCAAACTCCAGAAATGCACTGACAAAGTTGAGTAGAGGTTGAAAGCCAAGCGACGACTTGCACTTTTGCATTGAGCGTTTACAGTCCTGCATAGATCTTTTTCATATATTTTTTTTTCAATACAAACTAAGGCGTCTTGTTATATTAAGTTGGTTTGAGTCAATAAGCAGATAAAGGAAATCAAAAATCTTAACATTTAAAAAAAAAAAAAAAAAATTCAAGTAGACTACAATCTTGTTTCTCCCCCTCTCTCACAGGCAATTCCTCTGTCCGCAAGAGGAGGCCAAAACTTTTTCAATTTAAGTCTTTTTTTTTTTCCAAGGAAAGGTCCAGTGTGATCGTTAACAGCACCAAAAACACACCGAGCAAGAGAGGGGCGTCACACTTAACGCTTGCTCGTTATTGTGAGAGGGGAATACACGTCTTTACCCAGTCATACAGAATAATCTGGAAAGAAATTAACAGTATATTGTGTTTCTTATGTACATACACACATTTAAAATTAACCACATCACAGTCTCTCTTCCTCTCTCTCACACACACACACACACACACACACACACACACACACACACACCTTTGTCCCTGTGTAAATTACAAATAATTTATCAATATTAATTTAAGCTACTACTTAACAGTCATTTGTGGGAGCAGAGGCGACCGACGATAAACTTCTACAGACGATTCCCACGAAAGACAGAAAAACAAAAGTTCATTAGTCAGTCTGTTTCTTCTTTTTTCCTTTTCTGTACTGCAACAACGAGTCCTGTTACTCCACATGAGCTTAAATACAAATTATATTATGTAGTGTACTACTACTCTCATCTGTACCATCACCTCGCTCACACTCATTCCACAGTGATCAAGGTCAGTCATATGTAAACATGTTGACAAAGAGGAGAAAAGAAAAAAAAAGGCAGAACAAAAACAAGTGTCCTCGTCATTCACGCCGTCTTGTTCTCATACCCGGTTTGTTAGAAAATACAGTTAAATTAAATCATTGCCACTCGTAGCGGAGATAAACTCTTTTATGTCCTCTTTTTGTTTGTTTGTTTTTTTTTAAAAGGAGGCGAGGGAGCAACACCCCCTCCCCCCTTCATACCGCATCACGTCAGTCAATCAAGCCGAAGAGTCCGTTGGTGGTTGTGGCCAGGAGGCGAGGATGTGACGTCTGTCTGTCTCCTGTGCTGTTATTGTTCAGTGGGATTTCCTCTTCATGTCTCCACCCTGGCTTTGGTTCGCATCTGCGTGGAGAGGGCACATTTTTAAACAGCTGGACGATAAAACAGATCCAGCAACCTGTGGCACCAGATCACTGAAGGGCACCTAATGCACTGTTTCTCATATTCTGTCATACGTGCACTGTTAAACCGAGGGCAGTGCGTCTACATGCATCCCAAAAGGTTCTAAACACTTAATTTCAGATAGTTTTTCTTGGCGTCGCCCCCTGCTGGTTATTAAAAAGAATGTTGGTTTCGGGCACTTTGTTTCACTTTAGGATCGAGAAAGATGTGAACAGACAATCAGGTGGAAAACAAAGATTTTTGATTTATTTAAACAAAATCCAATGTGGCTGCTGTCAGTGACTGATAAAAGCTATGGAAGTAGTCAGGATAAGTCTCAGTAAGAGGCAGACACAGCTTTCAACACTCAGAAGGGTTGAAGACTGTTTCTTGGTCTTTACTTTTTAAATGTTTATTTATTTGTCTTTACAAATGGAAATACAGAGACTGGCAGATAGCCAGTAAAAGACGATAATATTAGCCTGCTAATAATAATCAGGTTCTCTGTTACTGGCTATACACTTGCAGAACATCTGTTACAATGTTTAGTTTGTCCTTTTCCTTACAGAAAGATTATATATTACTAAAATCTCAGAAAGGACCATCCTTAGGGTCAATCTGAGGTCCTTAAAATACTTGCTAGAAAGCCTGAGTTGAACTGGTGCAACAGGCTGCAGCAGAACGATGAAAAACATTGTCTTATGAAACATGAAGGGCCGAGTGTGTGGGTGGTTCTTTGGCTGAAAATGTAAATTACTAAGCATCTTTAATTCTGGCAAACTGAGGTACACAGACGTCTGGCAAATTCTGAAATTTTGGGTCAATATGACATTTAAAATGAAAATCTGGCTGAAAGGTGACATCTTGACGTTATTTATATAATTGTGTTGTCTTTTGAGTTTACTATAAAACTGATGGCAACTGAACTGAAGTTGCCACAGGAAGTGGCGACAGAGACAAGCTACGCAGGCCTGGTCCCTGCGATTAATTAACAGGAGTTACAGTAAATCCAAAGTGTGGATTTACTTGGAAATGATACAGGACGGCCCAGGAACAACCAACCTTAGTAGGAAAAGACATTTCATTCATCCACCTTAAACTCAGCTTATCATTTAAAACGTGCCAGTAGCTGAATGCTTGGTTTTTCCTGCTTTTACAGAACACCTGTGAAATTATTTGAATCTTTTTTTCCCCCCTAAAAATAAAAAATGACTGCTGCTGACCTGAGTAAACTTTGACCTATCAGTGTTCGACCCTTTTATCACTGCATCCATATGTGAAAGCACCAGATAAAACGCAAATTAAACTTTTGATTAAAAAGGATCAAAAACTTCTAATATGAAAAAGGTTTAATTGCTCATAAGTCAACCAGTAGGTTCCAGTTTTTGTTTTTTTTAAACAGACTTTGCTCAAAAAACGACATATCTTCGTGTTTCTACTATGCTACGATCAAACCAGAGGCATGCTGAACACCAGATACACTACAGCAAACAGAAAGTTGGAGAACTAACAAGTAACAGAGCAGCTGAGCCGACTGCAACAAGTCAGCCTGACACAGACAGATGGAGAGGAAGGATGAAGAGGAGGTGGAGGGATGCAGATTACCTGAAAAAGCAAGCTGCAAGTGAGGAGGTAGGGCAGCCTGTGACCCTGACTGGAGACTCTTATACAGATCTGAGGAGAGATGGAGGGTAGGGTGGACAAATGAGAGGAAAGACAGCAACAACCAGGGAGAACTGGGAAAAGATGACACCGTTAAAATGTGAGACCAGCAATAAAAGATAGTCGAGGATCAAAGCTGTCAGCGAGGCGAACGAGTACAAAGGGCTGAAACGACAGAGACTGGTGCAAAAAAAAAAAAAAAATGGTGAGAACAAAGGAGGGAGACTGGTTTGTAAAAGAGGGTTATGGCAGGGGAAGCACTGCTGGTTTACAGAAATACACAGTGAACCAGTAATATTTAAGGAGTCCCATTTAGTCTCTTACAAAGCAAGATTATTGTAGTCAACTAAAACTACATGTGAAAAACATTTTAATTAACCAAAATAAAAATAAGTATTTCAGAATAAAAATAGAATATCTTTAGTTTTAGTTCTTGTTAGTTTGGTAAAGATGTTATTAAAGCTTCATGGACGCGTTTATTGAGATTCTGGATGTCTACAAGACTGAGTCAACTGCATTCAAAGAGTTATGCGTCTTTATTGTTACAGCTGTACTGATTTTTCTAAATCTTGGCTCTGACATCTGCTCTCCATACAGTAATAATTAAACAGACTACAATTAGCACTGAACATTTAAGTCCTAGGTGACTTGCTTCTTCAGTTATTGCACTGAAATTCAAACTCATCTGATGTTTTTAGCAGATGCACCTTTGGTAAGTTTTTCAAAATCCTACATCGCTTCGTTCTCAAGTTATTGCATTCACAAACTTGGGAGTCCACCCTCCCAACCGCACACCTGGTGGTGTCAGGACAATATCAGATTAGCCTTTTACGACTGAGGGGTAAAAACTAAACTGAAACAAGAAAAACTATAATCAAATCAACAAAAACTACAACAATTCTGCTACAGTTAGTAAGTATTAAAATACTTTTAAAGATGCTACTAGTTAAATTCCTATATCTGTGAAAAGGTTACCAGAGTAACTCATTTTCTAGCTTAACAGAAACCGCCAGTATAAATCTTGTACCATCGTATTTTTTGTGTTTTACCGCAACCCCCACTTAATATAACGTAGTTGCAAGTTGTACTAAAAGGCAAAATAAACTTCCTAAAGTCTAATGTGTTATTGATATAGGATATCAAAGGCCTTTTATTTTAAAAAGCACAGTAAAGTCTGTCTGTTGGTGATAAAAGATGCAGGTCCCTTAATTAAGAGCCCACTCACCCATTAGGTCGCTCTGTGCTAACGGGTATCCTGAGTTGGAGCTGGGTGCTGTGCCCATTCCAGCCGCCCCGGAAGCTCCAGGAGGGCTGAAATTGAGCAACGACGGAAACTGGAAGGGTAGCGAGACAGGCACCAGACCTCCCAACATCCCGAAGCCCAGGGGCAAAGCAGAGGGGTTGCCCAGGAGGGGAGTGCCTGCAGTCGATACCTGCAAAGGAAACACAAAATATATACAAATATATTCAAAATAAAACTCTAAGAGTGACTTCCCGTTGGTGGAAACTAACCTGTGAGAGGTGTGACGTTGTGGAGGATGTGGCCAAAGTTCCTGAAGCCACCCAACCATTTCCAGCCTTTGAGCCCTGGCTGGCCCCACCCACCACCCTCTGCCTCTGCCCGTGACTGGCTGAGACTGAAGGTGATTGGGGGGTTTTGTCCGGATGACTGCAGACTGTCGAGACCACTCCCTTGTTGTTAGAGTTGTTGTTGATGCTACTGTTGCTAGTGGTGGACTGAGGTTTCTGGGCTCCAGTGAAGCTGCAGCCGCCCTGTGTTTGTTTCACCTGCCCGCCACCTGATACACTGAAGGGGGGCCGGAAAGTTTTGGGGGTTTTGGGAGAGAACTGGTGTTGCTGCTGTTGGGTGGAGATTATTTGATGGGAAAGCGGATTTGACGGTGAGGATGATGGCGAGGGGGAGGATGAGGGTGGCGGGGTGGGGGCGGGAGGCCGAGGGGTTAGCTTGATGATGGGAGAAGAGTTGCTGCTGTGCGAGGACTTGGTGAGGGTGGCCTGCATGGGTGTGATGAAGTTGGGCTGGTGGTGGAGGTGTGTGTGGGATTTACCTTGAGCGGAGTGTGCGGTATGGGAGGTTGGCGAGGGTGAGGAGGTGGCCGGTGACGGGGGGCAAAAGGACTGCAAGCCATGGTGGGAGGTAGAGTTGGAGCGGGACTGAGGGGAAGGGGAGGAGGAAGCTGTGACGTTGCTGTTAACAGCGCTGCCATTGCTGCTGGATTTGGCGCTGCTCTTTCCCAGTGCGTGACTTGCTCCCATTGTTCCCAGTATCCCCACCGGGCTAGCAAAGCCTTTCTGATGGGGGGGCAGCAGAGGGGAAGCTGTCGGAGGAGGCCGATGCTTTGGAGGAGAAGGGGAGGGGTGCGGATGCATCTTCCCCATCACTGTGCTTGGCCGGTGATTGGGTGACGCCATGGTAACATGTCTCTGAGTCTGGGTTTGGCCCATGACACCAGATCCTTTGATCGGGCCATAGTGACCGTCTGCAGTCCTGGAGGCTAACGCTAGGCCTGCTGCCTGCACGTGAGCAAGAGAGGAGACAGCCGGGGACGAGGAAGAGGAGGTAGAAGAGGAGGTTGGTAGCGTTGTTGTTGGCAAGTTCACAACAGATGCAGCTGTCAGCGGAGCACTCTCCACTTTAGACAGGGAATGGTGCTGCGTTGTCTGTGCTAACGAGGCAGAAAGCTGAGAGCCTGAGGGGTAGTGAGGGGCGACGGGTGGAGGAGAAGAGGTTGGTATTTGCAGCGGTGGGGGAGACAAAGGGCTGTCTGTGGGACCCTTGGATGCATTGCTGAGGAGGGCCAGAGCATGGGAGATGGAGTCCAGAGAGGGAACGGTCAGATCTTCATCCAGAGAGTCTGACAAACAGATGGGCTCCGAGGAGGAGAGGGGCTGGCGGTTGGAGGTCAGAACAGATGTGGCGGTGGGCTGAGATGGGGTGGAGGTCATGCCGAGCGATGGTTTGTGGAGCCAAAGGCCCTCCTAAAGAACAGGAGAACACAGTCAGTATCACCCAAGCTCCACAAAGAAACCAGAACTTATTTCTAACCGCTTCTCTTCATAAAGTACAGCTCCAACATTTTACCCACAAAACACTTTTTAAACCCTGAACGAAACTCATAGGTTCCTTCACACAACTCCTCCTTAACATTTGAGCTTTTACTGTGAAAAATGTCAGGAAGCGGTTTTTTTGTTTGTTTGTTTTTTAAGCAGTTTAACAGTGGCTTTATAATTCTGCGTCATACCTGTCAGACCCTTCTGAGACCTCGCCCCGTGGCCTGACTGCACCGCCTATAAATGTTACTACACCTGGCTGTATAAATCCTACAAATCACTTATTTTTTGAGAGATACACAAATATGATACAGCTACAGTTGTATTAATGCACGAAAGAACTTCAGCCAGTGGGCTCAAATTGAACGATTCATAAAACTGCTGTAAAATAAAAATACAAATACACACACCCTTTTTTCTTTTTGATATTTTGCAGTAAATAGTCTGAGCTGTCACTCACCTTGGGTTTAGCCTTGGGTCCAGGCACCATTCTCTTTTTCACTCTGTGTGGGAAAATACCAGCAATTATTCACCCTCTTCAGCTGACATTTTACATTGACGCTCAGTCCCAGTAAAATTCCTGCATGCTCAGAGTTACGGGAGAAACAAAGGACACACTTACAGGTTTCCAGTGAGGTGATTGTGAACAACAAGGCTCTCCTTGAACAAGATCCTGAGAAACAGGCAATAAACAACAAAGTCAGCCAAAATTCAGGGTCACTGACATTAAGAACGACATCACCGAGAAAAACGGAAAACACATTAAAGTTGGATACAGTCGGTTCCAAAGGTTCCTAATGTGGATGGATTACTATTGTTGAGGGTTTACACATATCAAATAGACTTAACTGCTCTCATGGCAGCAGCAAATTTATAGTACTTTGACAACATTTAAAACACAGTTTGCATACGTTGCACTTTTCCGCGGATAAGTGCCTCCTGCTTGTAACGAGCTGAACACACAAAAGCAGCACAGACCTGGTCTGCATCCAGCCCTTGGGCCACAGTGGTTTGACCTCATTCTCTAAGAAAGCCTTGAGGTAGTCCTCCACAGACAGAGAGCACTGGTTCTCCATCTCATAGCAGCTCAGCTTCACTCGCACTAAGCTGCACAGCAGGTTCCTGCACAAACAAACACACACACACACACACACTCCACTCAATATTAAGGTGAAAAACAGGCTGCAGTCTCCGAGCACAAAATGACAGAAGACACTGATATGCTTCAAAGAGGCAGAGGTATTCATTTATTTTGAATTAAATGAATAAATAAATAAAAGTCTTTGTAGTACGATGGAGAAAATTAATGAGCACTTATCAGCAGTTTTATTCAGACACCATTTCTGACCTGTGGGTTTCCTCGTTATTCCTCACCATGCAGGAATAAAACTTTAACTTCGGTTTTAGTGAAATATAAGTGGGAAAGAAAAAAAAAATGGAGAATGGTGAAAAGTAAAAGCTCTTTCTCCAGGATGTGAAGTGTTAATCCTGCAAGCTCTGAACGGACATAAATTGTTTACAGCCTGTATGAGCTCGGTTTACTAGATTAAACACCAGCGGTGGAGAACAAAGGGGAAGATGAAAACAAAAAGAGACGAAGAGAAAACAAATCACTCCACACAGCAGCACAAAGACGCTGGAACGCCATCCGGCCGGCTCTTCCAGCAGGACAGACTCGGATCATTACCTGAGCTTGTCGTCCCAGACAAACTTCTTCCGAGGTCCCACGATTCTCTTCCCAGGTTTCTCCTCATCGTCCTCCTCTGAGCCGTTCTTATCGCCCTCCTCTGACTGCTGTCTGCAATAAAACACAGAGATATAAAAGTGAACATAAACGGCTTGAATAAACCATTTTTTCCTCAAGAAATTAAAGTCAACAAGATGCTTTTATGCATTTTCCATCCAAGTTTTTATATGCGTTATGCTTTGAACGTCGTACGGTAGCAGTATTCGGGTATGTATCCACAGGCAGCAATTTTAAGACTTCTTTTACATCAGTGTAAATAAATGGATGTTTCTCCCCTGCTATTATTAATAGTTTTGATATTATAAGTCTCCCTCCATCTCAACTTAACTGACAAACACAGCAAGGGAAAAAAAGCTGCTTTGCACTGACTGGACTTTGAGCACCGTTAACTCTGATCTTCATACGATTTGCATAGAAGACAAATGCTGCCAGTGTGAAAACGGCATCGGGAACTCCGATGACATGGGTGGATGGAAAAAAGATTATCAGGAGAGTTCACATATCACTTCTTTTAAAAGAGCTGTCCTCAAACTGCTTTCAGAGGACTGCTCACCTTCTGGAACAAAAAGGACTGACTTACTTTGCAACCTTAGCCATGCACTCCATGTTATATTTCGCTATCTGCTCAGGCATCACACTGCACACTGCTAGCTTCAGCTTCAAAAGTGGCGTCCGCAGTCGATCGTCCTGAAAGAAAAAGCAGAAATGGATGTAATGACAAAGGGAATGAGAGGTAGAGAAAAGAAAGAAATTAGGAGGAGGGAAGACATTAAGGTCAGAGTGAGGGGAGTGGGGAAAGAGAGGCAGCAGAAGTGAATGAAGACTCAGAAATGAAAAAGTTAAGAGACACAAAAAAAGGCGAGAAAGGGGAATAATAAAAAAATATGATGGAGAGTTAAAGAGCGAGACAGAGGGTCGGGGTATGTAGATTTATTTTGTCAACAATCCAACATTAATGGTGCATGACAAAGAAGACCTTTGGAAGCCTGTTTTCAGCTGCAAACCTCTCTGCGCTAGTCTGCCCACGCTGAGATCCCTGCACGTTATTAACGGAAGCACCGAATACAGCTAGAGATTAACCGCTGCGTGAAAAAGGCAAACGTGACAGGGACGAACAAGGGGGGAGTTCTGGCGATGGGTAGGAGCTCAGAAATATCTCGAAAGAGCTCAAAAGAAACAAATAGAGTTAAATTTCAGCATCTCCCTGATGTGTTGGCTGTGAAAGAAAAAGCTAAAAGCTCAGAAAAGGAGCATGAAGCTGTTAAAGGATCAAAAGATATTCATTTATCACAGAAGAGTAAAAATAATTTTTTAAAAAGGTCAAAACCGTGTCATCTTTGACCAATCCAGTCCTTTTTTTCCTTTGCTTTATGTCTCTACACTAAACATCTAACAGTAATTTTTGATCATTGCACTCTTTATGGGTCGTCTGTTTTAGGGGCAATTTTTGACTTTCAGGAAAAGAAAAGAAAAAACTGGACACCCACCCAAATCACACACTGACCTGCAGGATGTGTTAAAGAAGGCCAGATTTGAGCCACGCTGCGTGGTGAGATTTTCAAAGCCCCTCCTGAATCTTTTAGTGGCCACAGAGCAATAATAAAGGCTGAAGAAGGACACCCCCCTCCCCCTGCACTCAATCACTTTTTAGATCAGAGTGAGGATTCACAGCTTCCTCTCCTCCACAGTAAAGCTTTAACTCACCTGGATGTTCAGGCTGAGCTTCTTCAGGCGTTTGAGGAGCGCCTCTTTGTTGCACGGCACAAACGCCTCCATGTGGGAGTAGATTTCTGAGCGCACCTCGGGAGGCTGCTCTTGGACCTGCAGCTCAATACTGAGAGAAGGGAGAGAGAGTCCAGATTGTCAGAAAAGCTGTAAAAAGAAACAAAAGAGACGAGACAAGAGAAAAGACGGAAGTGCCAGAGGAATGAAAGCAGGGTGATTGAAATGAGAAGCATGTCATTACTGAAGAAAATGAGAGACGGACAGAAAACAAAACACTTAAAGATGGCAGCAGCAGAGGTGACGAGGGAAATCTGCTGCCAAAAAAGAAAAAAAAGAAAGAAAAAGGGAAATGGAGAAGAGTGTGCTGGGATTTGGCTGACGGTGATTTAAAAGCTGTCCTACTCACTCCAGGAGAATGTTATTCATGTCCAGGGTGAAAAATTTCTTCCTGCCCTCCTGATCAAACTGCCGCGAAGCCTGTGGGAGAAAGGTTGAGTCAGCATAGAGCACTGTGCCATACGCTGTAAATACATATACAACACTGCAGTGTGCAAACATTCCTCTACCTCCACAGAGCTATACGTGACTCTAAATATAACAATAAACCTGTAAGCAATTATGGTTAAAGTGGAATTTGAGCTCAGCTGAAAAGTGTTGGTGTAACTTTAGCACAGACCAAACGACTAAAAGAACAACATGAAGAAGAGTTACACTTCCCAAACAACAACATGGTTTGGTGTCATTTTTGGCCTGTATTCCTTGTGTTTAGAAAGTGTACAATTTACTCGATCAATTTAAAAATTAAAAATAAAAAACAACAAAAAAAAAAAACCCCACTCTTGCTGTGATGTTACTGCAGAAAAGTATTAGTTATGACACCAGATTCAGCTGCAGTCTACACTAATAATGCTCATAGCCTGTTACTTCTCTGCAAGCCTGTGTGGCCACCAGCAAAGGAAAAATAAAATATGTGGGTTCTTACAGCGCCGAACACCAACCCTGTCCGTGACCTGAAGTCAATAGGAACCTTACTGTATCAAAGTCACCATATTTTTTTAATTGTTGATTCAATTCAGTTTTAATTATTAAGCACCAAATCACAACAGCAGTTGCCTCAAGGTGCTGCATATTAATAATACAGAGAAGATGACAACAATCAGATGAGCCACAATGAGCGACAGTAGGAAGGAAAAACTCCCTTTTAACAGGAAGAAGCCTCCAGCAGCACTGGGCTCTGCGAGGGGCAACCATTGGTAAGAGCTGACTTCACTATAGCAGCTTTACACTGGGTGGCTTGCTCCTTAAGCAAACTTTCTTCTGATTGGCTGCCCCTCACAAACAGGTCTAAATAGCAGGTAAGTGAAGCTTGTGTGCCATATAAGGGATATCTGCTCTTTCTGACATCATAAAGAGCCAAGAGCAGAAAAAAATATTGAAAACAGTGTTTGGAGCAGTGTTACAGGGATTACTTGGACATACTGATCTTATTATTTGAATCTTTGGCTATGTTTTTAAGTGCTGTCTGTGGTAACCGTGTGTATAGAAAATTTAAAAGGAAAGCATAATAGGTCCACATTTAAAGAAAATACTCCCAAATCAGGATTTTCCCCTCATGTTATCTTTGAATCAACAACAAAAACAAATATATTTTACCACTATTTTTAGTTTTCCCCTCTGGCTCAGTCTGCTCTTCTCTACCTCTGAATCCATCAATCCTCCATTGTTTTCCTACCTCTCCTTACATGTTTACCAACATCTATAAAAAGATGGGCGGCTCTCAGATATAAGAGCAACGAGAACATAAGTATATGTTGAAGAGGTAGCGGTGAGAGGTCTGCTGCTGTTTTAGTTACATAAAACCCCCTCAGGGCTCAGCGTTGAGCCACATTTCTCCAACGCTTTAGAGACTTTTCTCTCCGGACTAAACAGAAACAATAAACATCCTCTGCCACTTCCTCAACTGAATGGCATTTGTGTTTAACTTCAGTGAAGAGGTTTCACAGGTAATTGCAGTCGCCCACTAACAGCCTACAGCTGACTCACCACCCGCAGGTCCTCGATGCGTTTAATAAGAGGAGCGGGCAGTCCATTGGGAAGCGGAGGCGGCGAAAACAGTCTGCTGGAGGGCCCCGGGCCACGCCCTTGGCCACCTCCTCCTCCCGCTTTATGAGTTGGCACACCGACTCCCAGTATGCCATTCTCTCT